TGTCAGTAGGTACCTCCTCATGCAGGGCAGCTTCTTCAAAGGATCTCGATGAATTATTTTCTGACTAGGAGTAGACCCAGGAACATACGTGCTGCAGGGAATCTAGGCAGAATTGTCTTTTCAGGAATCTGTATGTACTCTGGCAGCTCTAACATTTCACTGGGAAAATAAATCAAGAATTAAAATATTTTTTCCAGTGCATATCCTCTGTAAGAGAGATCCGTTGGCCTTAATTATAAACTGAATTACAGCTGCAGGCAATCTTGATATTTCTTTGGAAGCTCAACTCATGAGAGATGTGGCACCATGCTGGATTTTTGGGTCTGAAAGTTTGCGATTGTTTTGGACAGTCAATAACTTAAATGAAAAAGTATGGTCTTTGTCAGGCCATTGAATAAAAAATGTGCTGTGTTGCTATTTAACTGTTTATTTAACGGATGATCAGTTTTGGTGAGTGAAGTGAAAGGGAAGTGCTAACTTTACGCAGATGAACAAGAAGGAAAAAATGAAAGGGAAAGTAAGTATCAGTGAAAGATGTTTCTGGCTGCCTTTCAGTTCCAAATTGGGCTAATTCTACCTTCTGAAAAGAAGATAATTTTCACGTTTCTGTAATTGGGAACACATAATTGAAGTTATTTTCTCTCAGAGAGAAGAAGCTTCTTCTACAACATTTGCAAATGGACAAGAAAAATGACCACATACTCTAAATGATGGTGCATTCATTACAGCATCATCTTCAGATGTCTTTGCATATTTTGCGCTGTAGTTTTTGCCCATTTGGGTAAAAATTTATATGTGGATGGGGAAGGTTCATGTCGGTGACTGCAGCTCACTAACTGCAGAGCTCCCTTTTCTGGGCAGCCATTCCATCAGAGACAGCTGATTACCAGTGAGGTCTGGAGTAGAAAACATGCGCCAGAGAAGCACTGAAACAAGTATCAACATCGTGTACCAAAATAATTATGCAGTGATTCCACGCGACTGCTTCTTTTGACCTGGCTTTTTAGGAACTGAACTTAATGAGGAAGATGAGCCAGATGTTGCAGTACTTTGAGAGTGGCACAAGCGATTAACTCACTTCCTTTCGTTTGTAGCATGAAGATATTTTCTGCCACGGGGTTTAACCCTGGGAATGCTGGCATTTTCCTAGACATCCCATTAACTAAGCTTGTGGGACAGCGTTTCTTAATGAACACATTTGCATCTGCATATGCGACTGCAATCATCATGCTCTTTCCTGAGGTTGCTCAGTATTTGATGGCAGTAGCAAGGGTTGGACTTGGGTGCTCCTGCTCCCCAAGCATGCTGGCTTTTTGCTGACCAAGGCTCTGTTCCATTTTCATGGGTCAGTTTATCATCCCTGATGCTGCTGCGGTTAGCCAGACAGAGTGATGCTCAGAGGATTTGGGAGGCCATGTTGCAATTCAACCCCAACTTTGACCTGTCTGTAGCTCAGAAATATATATTTGTGTGCATTGAGGCATCGTGAAGAAAAGAGAATGCATGAAGATAGCTGTGGTAGGTTAGACAGCAAATTGGATTTCTAGACAGCCTCGATCATTGTACAGATCAGGAGAAAATAGAGGAAGTTTAATAACAACAATACAACTCTGTTTTATAAGGAAAGCCAGAGTTATATTTTTTCTCTGACCTAACAAAAGAGGAGGAAGGAAACTGTTTTGCTGAAACAAGCATTTTAGGTTGGGCTAAGGTTACACTTCTCTCTCTACGTTTGTGTGTGTGCGTGTCCCAGTAAACTCAATAGCATGTTCATATGCATGAAATGCATTTTCCTGGAGGCACATATAGTCAGCATGTGCCATGCGAGGAGGAAAAAGATGTGCCTAGCACTACTTAAATGTTGGTGAAAAAAGCATAGCATTTTAGTCAAACTAAGTTAAAGCATCTCATAACATTGTGGTTGGTATTTGTTATTTTTGCTGACATTGGGTACTGGATAAGAAATCTGCCTGGTGTGGAAAAGTGCAATGTAGATAAAATACGAGAGCAGCCTATTTATTTTGTGTACAAGGCAACGTGGCCTCTAAAACCAGAGAAAGTCAGACAGAACTGAAAATCTGCAGATTTTGATCTTTCATTTTAAATGGCGCAACCCATGTCCTTACTGAAGCGGGCACGAGCGGGCCCCCCGACTGGGAGGTGTGGAAAGCTGGCGTGGAAGAGAGGGAGAGGCTTCACATACCGTCTGCCCAGCATGCCCTCCTGAAGCCCGGTTGGTGGTGGCCTGCAGATGCGGTGGCTTTGGGTGGGAGAGTGGCCAGCATAGGTCTGCAGTGCTGAGTTCGGCCCCAGCAGGCTGTGTGCAAGGCTGACGATGTGGGGCTCGCAGCAGCCTGGCTGCAGGTTTTGCCTTTCCTTTAGAGCCCACGTGTGTTGATGGGCAAATCGCTTCAGCTCCATGCATCTTTCTTTCCTTTGCTGTGAGTAGACAGCAGCTTGTGCCCTCTATTTTGGTCCACTTATATTACAAGGTCCAAGGGTAAAAGCAGTGTTTCAGATTATGTGTGGACAGAGCCCAGCAGAAAGGCTGGAGCATGGCACTTCCATGCGTTTGTGCCACACTGGTGATTGCTGATGGGGGAAATACAGGGATGGGGGCCATCATCAGCTTTGTGCCATACTGTCTTCTTCCTGCAAAGTCTAGGGAAGGAGTCTCAGTCGATAGGGTGGCAATGGGCATTCCTTTCTGCATGGAAACTGAAATAGTTACAATAGATGGAATAATATTTTAAGAGGCTCTCTCAAGCTAATAAATCCTTGGCTGCACTTGCTGTGTTAAAATATACGTTCAGGCGAGATTCATGATCAGTTCTTAGGAACAAGAGAGCAAAGGAAGAAAATTGGTTGTTCCAAGATTAAATACTTTGCATTTGGCACCTTTAATTGGCTTATTAATAAACCTTTTTTTTTTTTTTTTTTTTTTTTTTTTAGAGTTATAATATTTATTATTGCTAATGAAGTAGTTGTTGACTAGCCTTCTAAAAACAGCCACAAAGCACTGGCCAAGGGCATCTGGGTGTGCTGGGTCAAGTACCTGGCTCTGAAACTCCTGGTCGTATGAGTGGCCTTATTGCCACCAAAATGATATATCCGACAGAGATGGCACTTACATGACTTAGAAAGCAAATGCAAGGCCTGGGCACTATACAGTCCTATCTCCCCATATGAAAAAATAAGTTGGGGTAACCCAACCACATCCGTGTGGTTGCATTTGTACAACAGAGTGTATTGAGCTGCGTGTGGACATTCAGGATTTCCAGATGTTCAACAGCTTCCTCAGAACAACTGCTAGGCATCCAGAAATCCTGGACAAATGCACAAATCCTTGAATATTGATCTGAAAAAAATCCCTGAGCAGAAAAAGAAAACATCTCAGGGAAAACCTGAATGTATGGTAGGTCCAGTCTATATTCTCAGTCAGGGAGGCTGAACGTACAGCAAATGGACCTTGCACAGCCCTCCAGGGAAATTCATCCAGCCAGGGGTTTATTCCAGGTGCCCTGCTGTGACTGTTAGAGAGGCGGGCAGTGGGTGCCGCTGCCGTGTTGTGTGTGCGCGGCAAATCCAGTGCTTCCAGGGAGCACGGTCATGCTGCAGCGCTCATGGGTGCAGCGCCTGCGAGATAGATCAGGTCGACAAGCGAGGGGGATGATGGTGTACAGCTTAGCATGGGGCCTAGAAAAATAAATATGACAAGGTCATGAACATGCAAGTGTTTGGTTTCTGGGAGTGGATGATTGAAGTATTATTGCTAAGCGCCGTTCTGAGACCTTCTCTACATTGATTGATGTCTCATTTGAAATCTCCTTCTTGCCTGAAAGAAAAAAGCATGAAAGCATTTAGTTAATTCTCTTGCAGTGCTTTAAAGCTGCTGTTCTCTGTTGAACATGACTGGCTCAATAAAGATTCATCATGTCAGATGTAGTCTCTCTAAGCCAGGTAGAAGTGGCCACTGTATTGTTTCTCCAGTGATTTTACATTTTCTTCCCATTTAAGTAGGTATGGATCATGGAAAAATGCTTCCATGTAGACTAAGTCTCCTAAATTTCGTATCTAAGGTCCAATCCTCGATGAAGGCAGCAATTAATCAATGAAATCACTGGCTTTACCGAAATGCTGCATTTCATAAATAAGTTAGTTTTTGCATGCAAGTCTTTCAAGAAAGCAGTGCACACAAGGAAAGCTGGTTTCAGCATTTTTTAATCCTGAAATGACCGAGTTTCTCATTATGGACACCAAACTTAGCTTCTTCTAAGAAACTTCTAGGCATGAGGCTATTTCTGTGCTTCTCAAAATATGCCCATACTTCTGCTGTTTTCCAGGGAGAAGACTCACTGAGGCAGACTGCAAATACTGTATGCCAGCTGTTAGCCTATGAAGGCCGAGAGGTCTCAGTTTCTAAGCACATATTAAAACCTTTGTATCCCTAGTCCCTAGTACTAAAAATCCGTGGACCAGCTCCTGCTCTCACTAATGTTAACAGCAGGATTTGTGTCAAAACAAACAAGAGGAGAACATAACTAGCAGCTTGGGATTATCTGTCTTTGTCCATATACTCCACCACTGTAGGAATGATTGTTCTAGCATCTTTTATATTGCGTTGTTAAGTGATGGAAGCTTTTGCCAAATCCAAACTGAAATGCTTCCAAAGCCTTTTTCAGTGTTGGGAAATGTTTGTATCAAGTTATCCTTGGAATAATTTTCTCCTTTATTTATTATTATGTGCTACCCAGTAGACACCTAATTATGAGGCACAGAATACTTCTCATTCTAGGAGGATATATAGCACTACACTGGATGCTTTAGGAGTCCATTTTCATTACATTAAATGGGATTCTTACTTGCGTGGATCCCTTAGGTTTTAAAAAAAGCAAAAATAAGACAAAGAATAAAGTTCAACACTGAAGAGCCAATAGACCCTGTTACTGTGGGCAAATGCCTTTATACCACATCACAGACTGTTTGTCCTTTTTTTTCAGAGTGGGTATCCAAGCTCTGGACCCGCATCAAGCACTCCTGCCTTCAGGCCTGAGGATGAGCTGGAACATCTGACCAAGAAAATGCTGTATGACATGGAGAATCCTCCCTCTGATGACTACTTTGGTGAGCAGTGCCACATCACAAGTGTCTGTAGCCCCTTTCTGTATTTACTGGGTTCAGTAATGGGGAGGCCTGGCAGCTGCGCTGTTAATGTAGTGACATTTGTATTGATGGATTTGCTTTCCATGCTTGGGCTGGAAGTGTAATCATCCATAGGAATTCCTCTTTAATTTCAGCATAAATCTGATGCTCACTTGCTGTATGTTTATAGTCTTTCTGGTTATAAAGTTTAATTTTTCAGTGTCTGGTTCATTTTCACACCATCTGTCCCCAGCTTCTAGGCTACCAGGCTGAATTCAGGTGCAGTGCACTGTCTTGCCCGCCTGCCCCATCCCTTCTCATTGCAGCTGCAAAAAACCTGGCAGTGTAAATCTGTTCTTCTCCCAAGGCATAGATTTTCATTTTCTGTGTGCTGGCATAGATTAAGAGGAAATCAATTTTGAGTCAATCAAGTTGGTTTTACATGGGGACCCGTTAGCCCAGAACTGGGTCCAGCAAGTACGAGGAAGACAGATCTGAACTGATTGGCTCAGAACCATGTCGTCTTCCTTGCCTGAAAAAAGATAAACAGCTAATTTCCCTTTTAATTGGTATAGAATGGAATTATCTCAGGCGTCTATAGGTGTAAAATGTAGATCTTGCCTTTATATAAAACACAGGCAATATGGCCTGTGAACTCTGCATTAAAGTCAAGAGCCTTGGGCATATTTGATGCATCTTGTCTGTTTGCTTACTTTCTTAAAGGCTTGGGTGATAGTGGTGTTGGGAAACAAACTGCTGTAGTTTGTAGAGCTAAAGACTGGGGTAGGCCATTCATTTTGTGCTCTTTATCTTCCTTTATCTCATAATTTCTTAAAAACTTCATTTAGATTGCCCCCTAGGTCTATTTGCTGTAGATTTTGGTTGGACCAAAACATTTCTGGCTTAAAGAAACTTCTGTGGTTTGGTTTAATCAGAAAGCAGGTGGGACGAAGATTTCACTGAATAAACAAGGATCTTGCAGTGACGAGGATCTGATTACCTGAGAAGGTCAAGATGTTCTCATCAAACAAACGTTGCCCTTATAGATGGGGTTGATATCAGTCCCCATTCTCTATCAGTACCTTCTACCTTCTCTGGTCTCCACCCTCACAGCCAAAATGTCTTCTCTATAAACACTGATAGTCATCAGAGTTGATGACTAGCACAGATCTGAGGTGTGAGCAAGAACGACTAACTGAAGAGAGGATAACCAGAGACCTTTTTCTTTGCTGCTGCTGCATTTGACTTCATCTTTGTCCATATCCGTTTGTGTTCACTCTCTGATGTTTTAAAAGCGAAGCAACAACCAAACAAACATAACATGTATTTAGCCATTAGTGTGGGCAGGCAAGAAGGAGAAATCTTTTTCCTGCTCCCTTCAGGCAAATGGCTTGAAGCCCTGAAGCACAAGATTTGATTACAGTAATTTTATTAATGCAGAGCTGTGAGTGGCAGGAGCTGGTTGATGGACCAAAGCCCACCCAGTTCCCCTCACAGCCCAAGAAGGTAGGCAGGTGAACAAATAACTTGGAGATTCACAGGATCCAAGGTCAGAAAGGACCTTGCCATTATACTGCCTAATGTCCTACTCTCAGTTTCTCCCAGAAACATGATTGAATCATGACTTAAAAAAAAAAAATCTAATCTTATCTTAAAGACTTCAAGCAATGGTGAGTCAACCACCTACCCTGATAAGCTGTTCTAGTGATTAATTTTCCTCACAGCTCAGAAATTGCTTCCTGAAGTGGAGCTTTAGTTTTGTTTAGCACTTGTATTTATGAAGCTGAAATGCTCGGGTTTTGCAGACTAATACTGTATCACTAAGATGGCTCTGTTCTGTTTGAGAGTGTGGTGCATCAAAGTTTTTTCATCCAAAAGGGATGTATAGCTCAAAGGGTTGGAACATAAAGTCTCTCAATGTTAGGTCATCAATTTGGCTATCAGATGGAAGGTCAGACCAATGCCATGCCAATAGCAAAAAAAAAGCATTCAGAAATGTTGCCAGTGTTGTTTATATAAGTGGTAGCATGATCAAAGACGGAATAACCATGCATGATGCAAGCTGGAAGATGAAAACCAAGCACCAACCTTAGTCCTACCTTGGGCAGGTGATGTTTAATTACAAGTTGCACCTGACTGATCTAATTGCACTGAGTCTGTGCCACTGAAGGTCATCTTTGAAGCAGTGTCCAGCCTTGGCATTTTTGATGTGCAGAAGAACCGTGTGTTAGGCTGAATGATTCCTCATCTCTCTGAGCATGTTGTGCCCCATGCAGCCACTGGGGAGACATGGCCACAACTGATTATATATCTACCAAGAAAAACATAAAACAAAACCAGCAGTTCTGGAGCAGAACTGCTTTTTATGGTTGGATGGAATCAAAGAGGTGGGCTGCCCTCAGCCTCCTAGGTTTCTTCCAGCCTGAGCTACTCCCAGACGAAGATGCTCTCTGGAGTCACAGTGGATGGGGCTTTTTGATATGGCAATGCAGGCCAGGAGTTTTGTACTAATTCTGGCTATGTCACAGCTAAATACCCATCTACTTGAGCTGTCAGCCAGTGCCTTTCAGTAGCTTCATGCTCATGTGGAAAGAACAAATTAAGTGTGGGAGGAAAAAAAAGAGTCTTTCAACTTGGGTTAAATGTCTCAACCAGTATCTCTGCCTTTGTTCTTTATTTGTTTAGCATGGTAGCATGGATTGTACAAGATTCATATGGCACATTGATCAAATAATCAGAAAAAGGACAAATGGGCAGAGACATTGACTCTGATTTGCATTAAATATCTTCTGCCTGAGGTCTAAATGCCATGGTAATTGTAGCATACCAGATAGCTGTCAGCTAATCACTTTTATTAGTTTGAATTTAGAAAACTGGATTTCAGCATATTAAAAGTTGGTTAAGAGCAGATAGGTTTTGAATTGAGGAATCTAATTAACCTTGCTAGAAAGCTGCAAGGCGTTATATTAAGTCATGAAAATAATTTGTTGGAATAATTACATTTGAACTGTCAGGCTGGAGAAAGGTCATTTTACTTGGCCCGTCAGCACTCTGGGATCTTTTCTGTAACCATCTTCCTTCTGCAATTTCACTTGCTGTATCTCTGGTTTTCGATCAAGCCATCTTGATTCTGGAATCAGCATGGGCAGAGTGGTGGTTCCTGGGGAGGGAAGAGGATTAGGAGCCGTTAAGGTTGTCTCCTTGCCCTGGAAATGCTGGCGGGTACTGCTGGAAGACTGGGCGAGCTGAGTTCAGAAGCAGGACAGCCAGCACTTCTATCAGGTCTGTGCTCACTACACCTCTCTGCAGCTTCCCTGGGTGGAAATTACTGAAGGTGGTTTCAGAGTTGGAGGAACTGTTCTAGCCAGTGACCACTCGTGCAAGCACACACAGCTGGCAGCACAGCATGGTTCTCGCTGCGTTCCCGGGAAGCCCGGGTGCATGGTGAGAGCCAGAAGCAGCATGCTGGAGACACGCTTTGGAGCAGTAAGATCACAGTTTGCAGCTGTTTGTTGCCTAGGCTTACCACAGCAGCATGATCCAGTCACTGGGAAATCCTCTAGCTGCCATTGGCAAGGCAGTGCTTAAGCATGGAAATATCTTCACTAAGCATAATAATTAAAAAAAAAAACCCACTGTGAATTTTTAGGCGTTAAGCATGCATGCTGGGTATTCTGCCTAACTGAGTGTTGCTGAAAAGCCACACCACCGTACTGAGTCTAAGCACCCGATCTTTGGTCTATGTCCCCTTCTACCCTCCTGTAGGTTATGGAGTGACTTATGGAGTGCCTTCTCCTGGGAAGTCCTTGGCAGATCAGCAAATTAAAGTCTCTTAAGTCTAAGCTACTCTTCCTTCCTTGCTGCTGATTCAGTTGCTGATCTGTGGTAGTTGGCTGTCTTTAATCAAATCCCTTTTTATTAGAAAGGATTCCCAAATGTGTTATGCACCATGCAGGAGGTTTCTCTCTGTCAAGCCCTCCCTGTTGATAAATGCACTATTGTAGATAGGCATGTCTGATTTGTTGAAAAAAAAAGAATACTTTCTGGAGTGGAAATTGGGTAAGGCTGGGGGAGTAGAAATGGATATTTACAGGCGATCAGGATGAAACCATCAAAATTGTTTGTTGGCCACCATGGGAAATTAAAGCCCTTGATTTTGCATTAAGAAAAACAAAATGCACACACAAAGGTCACAACTGTTCTGGACCACTGTTTCAAGTCTCATAGAAAGAAGTGACTTCTGGCAACTTATCAGTCGCTATCACCATGCAGACAGTGCTGATTAAGACTGGAAAAGTGCCATTGGGGCCCCTCATCTCCTGTTGCCTTCTGGACTGTGTCCCAGCTGAGTCACTCCCCACAGCAGAGGAGTTTCCCTGACTGGTGGGAAGAAACTTTCACTGGTATTTTACTGTAAGCTCTCAGAGCTACCAAAGGAGCGACTGGGTTTATGTATTTGATAATGTTGTGGTCTCCTTTTGTAGTTCCAGTGTGCTGTAGGGATGTGCATGGGGAGAAGAGTGGTACTAAGATGGTCCTGTTGAAACTATTCATGTTATGCAGTAAAGGGACATTGATTTATCTCAGGGCTGATAATTCAGGATATGTAGTTTTCTTATGTGTATTTGCTGTATGCCCTGACTGAAAATGGGAGAGGTGGTGCAGAGTTAGGCTGAGAAGCAAGGCCAACAAGCAGGATGCTTGACCTCCTTTTCTGTTTCTCATCCTGACCTCTCATAAGACTCATGGCAGATCATTTTACCTTTCCAAACTCCCTTTTTTCCCCCTTTCACCCTATTTGCAGGGCACTTAATCTGCATAGTCCTTCAGACAAGAGCTGATTAACAGCAGCAGCTGTATGAGTGCCCCCCATGGAGAAGCCTTCATCTCCAATGGTTCTTTGAGATGCTGTGTCACGGTTAAGACTAAAAATGATAAGTGGCAGCAGTATTGAATCTGTCAAGGCTCTGTCAACCTTTCCA